GGTTCTCTCAAAGTTAATGCCCCAAGATTCGGAACTTTGCATTTTAATATATAGGATTTTCCGGGTGTTTTCCGAAGACCAGAAATTTCCAGCACAAATAAATTAATTTATGAACGTAAAATAACGAAGTATCACATACACCGCATCCATAACGCTTTCGAATTATTTATATTAAATCCTAGGTTGGTTCAATGTTCTCTTTTTTGAGCAAAAAACGAAGAGGATAAAGGCAGCAGCAGGTGTATTTTTTACGGCGGACTGACGCATTTTCGCGGTTCTGGAAAATTACAAATAAACTACAAAGCTAAAGGAAAAGCATTTCGACGGTGAAAGTCGGCAATCACATAACTCGTTTTGCGACGTCGCAGACTTCCTGTCATACTTTATTTTTTAAACGGAAAACTACTCAACGGTGATACTTTAAAACTGCCGTGATTTTTCTTCTATGTGCGAGGAAAATTCTGCAAAAACTTTAAGGAATCATGTCCATTTGTTCTCCTTTAAAAAAATAACATAGTTGCGGAGATTTTTAGACACCGCAAGCGAGTTATGTGATTGCCGACTTGCACCGTCGATTTGCAGTTCTTCTGAAAATGCTTTCAACTAAAATGCTGAATTGCGTCCGTCCGTTCACACGCGCATGGGTACTGCTCTGACGACATTCGTGCCATTCATCGAGTCACGAGGTAAGAGACACGCCAAAGGTAAAAAGGTTGAAAAAAATGATGGAAGCCAGAAAGGAGGAAAAAATAATCCACCACTCTGCGCCAGAGAAGAGATGAGTACCTCCGTATCTCCTAACAAGTGCGCATATTGCACCGACCGTAGCAAGTGCTGTAAGATAATGTTCGACACCCTTTTTTGTGAATAATGGCCTCAGGCTCGAATTTTTTGTGAGGTATTGACAATTATTCACCGGTATTTGGAAGTTAGTCATACTTTTGATATCAGTTCCGTCCGAAAAGTTGAGCACTAACATAATGGATATCATATCATTGATAGATTCTTAAAAATGTTTTAAACTGTTCAGTTTTCTGTTTTTATCCATTTCACTAGTTTGATAACAAGATGCCGCATTATCCCGTGAAAATTTTAGTCGCAGGTAAGTCACAAAAAAATAATGGATTCCTACATTCTGATTTTTGAAAATTGTAGATATATATTTGAATTGCTTTAAATTTTCTCACATTCCCTCGTGTTGCTCAAATTTTAGATGAACATAGATTATGGTTATAATTTCGATTATTTGACTCGAAAATGGTTAGGTAAATAATTATTCGAGTGTTTGCGTTAGAGGTCAAGAGATTGATTGAGTTCAAAATGATTGGATTATGTCTCATCAACCTTTGATGCATTTTTCTAAGAATTCCAACTAAAATGTATCTCTGTGTGAAAATTATTGAATCAGTAAGAGAAATTCAATTTTTTTATGAGAAAACTGTAGAGTGGTGTTCTTTAAAGAAAATGAAGCATGACCGGAGACTTGTACCGTCACAATTGGAGATAGACGTTTTTAAAGTTCAGCCACGAAATGTGGAACTAAGACGTTCGAGATGTCATTACTTTTTGGCGATCCATAAAAGTTACACATTAAGGCGATTCGATGGATGCCATATTTTGTGTCAGAACGGCATGCGACATATCGCATCAATTGGTTCCATTTTTTCAGCAACTCGTCATTTTTCTCCAATTTTGAGATCAGAATTCTGTTGTCAGGAGACTAAAGCACTCTCTAACCAATTTTAACAAAGAAATTAAACGTAATAAAGGCGTGGATTTTTTTAGAGAGAAAACATAGCATTCGATACTGATATTGAAACTGCACTCGAATGCGATATTTTCTCTTTAAAAAAACCACGCCTTTATTACGTTGAATTTCTTTGTTAAAATCGGTAAGTGAGTGCTCTAGTATCCTGACATAACAGAATTGCGATCTCAAGATTGGAGAAAAATGACGAGTAGCTGAAAAAATGGAACCAATTGATGCGATACATCGCATGCCGTTCTGACACAAAATATGGCGTCCATCGAATCACCTTAAAGGACGATTCTGCAACTTCTACATCTGATTATTGTTTTTACTAAATTCCAGCAGTTCTAGTCGTGACCATATGGATGAACCCGGTGGCCTGCCTAAAGAGTGAAGATCGATTTAATTTCCTCAAAGACGTCCTGTTCAAAGAGGGAGACGTTCTCCAATTATTGAGTGGGGAGGTGATGGTCGCCATTGCCGGAAATGTCTTAGCCTACGTGGCTGATCAAAGGTGTTGGGTGTCGTCAACATACGTCAAAGTAATAGATAACCCCAAGGCAACATCACTGAGGAACAAGATGGCACGAAAAATTTACCCAGATTCAAAGCATTTCGACATAGACCGGAGCATAGCGCTCATCAAACGACTCATTGGAAAGGTAATGAACGCGCTCTTTCAAAGTATCGCCGTTTAAAGCCATATGTCAATAATTCGTCACAAATAATTAGCCAAAGACATGGTCGACCTGTTCAAATACAAAAATTGCCCCAAGAAGTACGGTTGTGTTGAAAATATCCTGAATACGTCGACAGAAATATGTGATGTGATATTGCAATGGGAAAATTACGTGAATACAGTGTATAAATATAAGCGCTGTACTTACTTAATGTCTCATCTATTTAAAGGAGTATGTGACGTTTTAAAAATTTTAAATCATCCAAAAATCAACAAGTTGGTTTTTGCAATCGCTAGCGATAGCAATATTCGTCATGGGAACTTTT